GATGAAGGACATCATGTTTGGTAAAATGGAGGGTTAGCATAAAAGAGGAAGGCCCCCAATGAGATGGATTGGCATAGTGGCAGCAGCAATGGGCTCAAGCATAACAACAATTGTCAAGATGATACAGGACCAAGCCGTATGTCTGTCTGTTGTGGAGAGTTGTTGTGAGTTGAAACCAACTTGACGGCACCTACCAACAACAGCAAACAGTATGAACTTCTGTATGTACTAATGGACTTACATACAGAATATATGAAGATTTCTTACAATTAAATGATAAAAGACAAATAACCCTATTTTTAAAAATTGGGCAAAAGATATGAATAGACCTTTTACCAAAAAAGAAAAACAGATCACAAATTATATTTGTAATCAATAACTTAATCATTGCAAATACCTTTTTAAGCAACATAAAAGAGTACTAACTAGACACTTGGAACTCATGGGAATTGGAGGTGAAAATCACAAGAGATACTACATACCATACAGAAGAGAGACTAGAATGAAAAAAAGACATGAATACCAAATTTGGCAAAGATACGGAGTAAATTGACATATGTAATTTATATACCATATAATTCACACATCAGAGTTGTACAGTTCAGTCACTATTAGTATATGCATAGAGTTGTGCAATCAATTTTAGAGCATTTTCATAACCACCCCCAACATTCTGTACGCCTTAACCATAATGCTTTCATCTTCCCAATCCTAGGCAACCACTAATCAGTTTTCTGTTTATGCATTTGCCTGTTCTGGGCATGTCTTATAAATGAAATGATGTAATAGGTAATCCTCTGTGAGTGGCTTCTTTCATTTATCATGCTTTTAGGATTTACCCATATCAGTACTTCCTTTTTTATGGGTGTTGTTATTTTGTTTATGCGTTCATCAGTTGTTGAGCTATTGATTATTGGCTATTATGATTATGAACAACGCTGAAGTGAACATTTATGTATGAATTTTTGTGTGGGCATACAATCTTTAATTCTCTGGATACAATTGCAAGATCATATGGAGATTTTATATTTAACCTTTGATGAACCGCCAAATTGTTTTCTAAAATTGTTATTGTTAGGTAACGTTGAGTTGATTCTGACTCTTAGTGACACTGTACACAACAGAACAAAACAGTGTCTGGTCCTGTGCCATGCTCACAATCATCATTACGCCTAAGCCCATTGCTACTGCCGCTGTGCCAATCCATCTCATTGGGGGGGGGTAATGCTCACTTTACCAAGCATTATGTCATTCTTCAGGCAGTGGTCCCTCCTGATAACAAAGTATGATAGACAATACTAAGTCTTACCATCCACACTTCTAAGGAGCATTCTGGCTGTACTTACTCCAACACACATTTGTTTGTTCTTCTGGCCATCCATGGTTCTTTTAATATTCTTTGCTCATATGTAAGATTATTAAAAACACCATGGTTTGGGTCAGGCCCACCTTAGCCCTCAAACTCTGATACCTTTGCTCTTGAACGCTTTAAAGAGGTTTTGTATAACAGATTTGCCTAGTGCAATATGTCATTTGATTTCTTGGTTGCTGCTTCCATGAGTGTTGGTGGTTGAGCCAGCATCATGAAGTCTCTGACAACTTCAATCTTTTCTCCATTTATCTTGATGTTATTTGTTAGTCTAGTGGTGAGGATACTTGTTTTCATTATATTGAGGTATCCTGATATGCTGTGGGTGAATGTACTGGACTGCAAGGTCACTTTGAACCACAAAGTCGGCCGTTCAAGCTTACCAGATGCTCTTTGGAACCCTATACAGGGTTGCTCTGAGTTGGAACTGACTCAACAGCACTTAACAACAACAACATTGAGGTGCGACCCATACTGAGGGCTCTGGTCTGTGATCATCGTCAGTACTTTCGGTCCTCTTCATTTTTCAGCAAGTAAGAGTATATCATCTGTATATCACAGGTTGTTATGAGTCTTCCTCCAATCCTGATGTCAGGTTTTTCTTCATAAAGAAAACCATCTTCTCAGATTATTTGCTCAGCATATAGATTGAATATAGATTGAATAAGTAGGGTCAAAGAATACAAGTCTGGCACACACATGTCCTAATTTTAAACCATTCAGTGTCCCCTTGTTCTGTTCAAACAACTGCCTCTTGGCAGTTAATGAGCACAATTAAGTGTTCTTTAATACCCATTCTTTGAAATGCTATCCATAATTTATCATGATCCACAGTCATATAATCAATAAAGCATACACAGTCATCTTTCTGGTGTTCTCTGCTTTCAACCACCATCCATCTGACATCATCAACAATCTCCCTCGTATCACATCTGAATCCAGCTTGAACTTCTGACAGTTCCCTGTCATTGCAGTGTTGTAGCCTTTTTTGAATAATCTTTAGCAAAATTATGCTTGTGTGTGATAATGATATCGTCTGATGCTTTCTGCATTTTCTTTGGTCACCTCTCTTTGGAATGGGCACAAATAGATCTCTTCCAGTCAGTAAGCCAGTTAGCTGTCTACCAAATTTCTTGGTGTATATGGGTGAGTGCCTCCAGTTCATTTCAACCTACTGATGCCTGGGGTATCAATTGGTAAGCATTCATTTCGTTTTTGACAACTTCTCATTTCCTAGATTCCTACTTTGTACATTTCATGTTTTCATTATTAATGGATGTTTACAGCTGTTTCTCCTCATTTTGAGTTGTGCCCATCAGTAAATCAAGATTCTGAGAGCTTTATTCAAGCCACATTATGGTCAACTCTACTTTAAGGAGGCAACTCTTTCCCCAGTTGTATTTTGAGTGCCTTCCAACCTGATGGGCTCATCTTCTGGCACTGTATCTAACAATATTCTGTGCTATCTGCCAGTGCTTCACTGCTATTCTTAAATTTTCAATGAGTAAATGTCCAGAAGTAGTCCATTTCTTCTCCTTCCTACTTTTAGTCTGGAAGCTCAGCTAAAACTTGTCCACCATGGGTGACTCTGATGATATTAAAGTACTGGTGGCATAGCTTTCAGCATCATAGCAACACACAAACCACATCATCCAACAAACTAACAGACTAATGGTGGGTTTTCTAAAGTGGCCACACCATTTTACATTCCCACAGTAGTGGGGTTCTAACTTTTCCACCACACCGACACTGGTTATTTCATGTCTTTTTAAAATATATGTATCTATAACCATCATTCTTCGTTATCTACTGCTGCTATAACAGAAATACTACAAATGGATGTCTTTAACAAATATTTCCTTACAGTTTAGGAGGTTAAAAGACTGAATTCAGGTGCTGGCTCAGGGGGAAGGATTCCTCTATCTGCTCTGAAAGAAGGTGCTGGACTCTTCTGAGCTTCCACTGTGTACTGTCTTCATGTAGCTTAGCATCTCTTTTTCTCCATCTCTACTCAGCTTGCTTGTTTAATCTCTTTTATATCTCAAAAGAAATTGATTTAAGATACATCCTACACTAATCCTGTCTCATTAACGTAGCAAAGACAACCCGTACCTAAATGTATTATAACCAAAGATATAGAGGTTTGGACACACATTTTGGGGAACACAATTCAGCCCATAACGCCATTCTTTTGTTAGGTGTCATTGACTAGGCTCCAATTTATAGCGACCCTATACACAACAGAACAAAACACTACCCAGTCCTGTGCCCTCCTCAGAATTGATATGTGTGAGTCCATTGTTGCAGCCATTGTGTTTGTCTCATTGGGGGGGGCGTCGGGGGGGCGGTTCTTCCTCTTTTTCACAGACCCTCATTTTCTACATAGTAAACCATGTAATTGTCTGCTGTGTTCTTATTATCAATAGGTATTTGCAGCTGTTTCTTCTCATTTTGAGCATGCTCCATCAGCCAATAAAGGTTCTGAAAACTTTGTTCCATCCTCATCATTAAGTTGGACTCTACTTTTAGGAGGCAGCTCTTCCTTAGTATTTTGAGTACCATCCAGTCTTGGGGGGGACGGGGGAGTCATCTTCTTGCATTATACCAGACATTGTTTCACTGCTATTCATAAGGTTTTCAGTGGTTAGTCCATCAGAAATGAATCACCTGTTTGTCCTTCCTAGTCTGTTCTTCGTCTGGAACCTTTGTTGTGACTTGTCAACCATGGGTAAACATTGCTGGTATTTGGAACACTGGTGGCCTCACAGCAATACTCAGGTCACCACAGGATGAAAAACGAACACTGGCCTTGTGGAACACCATTATAGCAGATGTGAAGTGGTAACTCGGGAATTTGATTTGCACTTTCCTGATGGTGAACGATGTTGAACATTGTTTATGGGTTCATTTGTAGATGATCTTGGGAGAAATGTCTGTTCATATCCTTTGCCCATTTAAAAGAGTAGATTATTTTCCCTGCCAATGTTCTTTCCTGTTTGACAAGGCTGTTTTTTAAAGGTTATGGTTTTCTCCCCCATCTCCCTTTGCAGGTAGAAGAAGTGAAGCGACGGCAGTACTCGCTTGCATTCACTTCAGCTGGAGCCCAAGCTCAGACCTATCATGTCAGCTTTGAGACTTTGGCTGAGTGTCAGAGATGGCAACGACAAGCGTCTAAGGTGATAAGCTATGAAACATCTTGATGATTCCACATACAGTAACATAAAAGGCCCAATAGAAATGTGTTTTACAACTGAGTTTACTCCCAAGAGAACAAATTATAATTCTAATGCATATTTGTCTTTGCGTTTCTCTTATTATTTGTGAGAATTTGCAAACTGCATTCTGCTTTTAGAGTAGTAGTAGTAGTAACATATGTAACATAGCATTTATGTATATGTAACATAGTATTATATATATATTATATGACATGTTACATATACATACTATATTACTCTATGCATGTAGAGTAACATAGAGTAACATGTGCATGTATATGTAACATGTTGTTAGGTGCCATCAAGTCGGTATCGACTCATAGCAAAAATGTACAGCAGGACAAAACATTGCCCAATCCTGGGCCAGCATCACTACTGTTGCCACGCTTGAGTCCGTCGATGCTGCCACTTGGCCATTCCATCTCATTGGGGGTCTTCCTCTTTGTTTCTGACCCTCCACCTTACCAAACATGATATCCTTCTCCAGTGACTGGTCCCTCCTGACAATATGTCCAAAGTATGAGAGACAAAGT